ATCGCCAAACCTTTGAAACTCACAGCCAACGCTTTGTGCAGTCAGCAGGATGCATCGACTGCACAAACTTTTCCAGAAGTTCTTTGACATGTACTGCCGCTGTTGATTCTTTCAAGAAGGGCAAAAGACAATTTTATATAGCCATCGCTCGGCCGTGCACAATGCTTTCACCTCGAACGTCAGAACGCTAATGAGTGAATTTTTTATTTTACTCATGATGCATTGCGGTCGTAATGCGATCACCGCCTGCTCGTGGGCCTTGAACTCTTGAAAGCCTTTGAGTGCAGAGATCCAAAAGTTCACCCTTCGGCTGTGTGGTTGCTCTAATTTCTCTCCTACGACTACCGCTAAATCGATCCGTTCTCTTTTCCCATTCAATCCGAGATCTTTCGCAAAATGCTTCCGAATAACTGTCGTTCCAGCGCCACTGTCAATCAACACGTTCCCTTCACGAACTCGACCGTTGTGGGCTCTGAATCTGGCTCTGATTACGGGCATCATGCTGGCTTTATGTAAAATTGAGGCAACTGGTGGTGGACTGGAATGAGGATGATGAAAGTAAGGACACGAATCGCTCTTTTCACATTTCTTCTTCGACCGACAATCATTCTTGGAGTGTCCACAATTCAAACACGAGAAACACAGTCTTGCTTTCTTTGCTAGTTCTAGTCTTTCAGGAACTGAGGCTTTCGCTAATACTGGGCATTCAATGACACGGTGCTCTTCTTCGCATACGTAACATTTCATTGGCGATCTGTTTGAATCACGACTGGCAGCATATAAACCTTTTCTCGGGGGAGGATGATCATTTCTTGGGGGTATCGAATCTCTTTGTAGGTCGCTGAAATCAGGGTCAAACTCTGCCTTTACTCTCTTTCTCACGTATTCACTTATATGGCTGACTGTAGGTGTCTGACCTTTCTCACCAATGTCCGCCACGAAGACTTTCCACCTTTCAATCATGTGGTCTGGTAAGGATGTGATGATCTTTCGTAAATTCTCGTTGGCGTTGATATCTGCTGTATATCCAAGGGACCGGTCATTATTTATGGCAGGGGTGGGGGCCGAAGAGAAAATGGTGGGGTAACTGAACAATAATAGTTGCTTTAGGTGGGGTGGCCAAAAAATCCTTGCATGCAGAGGTGGGGTAAAAAAAACCCTTACTTTTAATCACACACAATACAATATATACTGCTATCAGAGTTTAATATGTGATTATTCTAATTTTTTAATAAAATATTATTGCTTTCCAAAAT